CTCACCTGAAGAACCACGGCCTCCACCACTGCAACTCCTTCCTGGAGGAGTTGGCCAAGCAGACCAGTAACTGTGTCCTGGAGATTTGTGCCGAGCAGCGAAAACTGAGCGAGCAGGTAGGCTGAGCCCGCTCTCTGTTTAAGTTGCCCTGTTGCTGTCTTTTGGTGCCTTCCCCTCTGCCCACCTTTGTCTTCCTCTCAAATGCCAAGTTCTCTAAACTGTTTCATTCAAGTAAAGTTAGAGCTTTTGTGTACTTGAGTTTTATGGTAGGATGCTTTTCTTAGTGTAGTCCCTTAAGTCTTTACTCCCTTGGGACGAGATAGAGGTGTCTAAAAATACTTATTTGAACAGCTGCACTCCAACGAAATCTGTGCTCTCATTTAAAGAGTTCTGAGAGATGAGTTAACTTTCTAATTTACTTCCCCTCTTCTCGCTGCCCTGTGTACACATACTTAGGACAGTGGCCCTTAGATCACCAGTCTTGTCTCACCTTTCTGTCCTTCTGCACCTTAATCTGTGGCTGTCTGGACATTGTTAGGCACCTCCTCTGTGTTTATCCTCAGGGCTGCTTTCCTGTTTTTGTCTGCTTGTTTTCCCCTCCCCTCTCCTCCCTTTACTGACTCACAGCACCTGGTCATGATTAGCTCAACCTAAATTTCAGAAAGTTTGAAAATGAGGAACTTGTTCTGTCGTTGCCCCACAGTCTTTTAGGTTCCCCCGACTGCCCACCCCTTCCTGGATTTGAGTCAACTTTGCCAGATGGGAGCCAGGTTGATATGTAAAATGGAGATAAAAATAGTGTCTTCATAGGGGTATCATAAAGATTAAATGAAATAAAGTATGTTGCATATTTGGTATACAACTCTCAGTAGATGTTAGGTGTTATTTTTTGGTACTTACTGGGTGCTGAGCTGGGTTTTTGGGATGGGGTCCCAGAAGGAAGGTACACAGTCCCTGACCTAGGGGAATGTCCCAATTTAAGGGATAAAGGAGTACAGACACATGTATGAAAGACATTTCAATAAACAATTTAAGGAAGATATGCAAACAAATACAATTATGGGTATATTCATCACTCAATTTTAATGTCCATTACATGCAAGGGACATGGAGATTTGCTCAGTGCTGAATCAGGGATGACCAAGACATGATGTGAGTAATTATTTTCACACACACCAGAATTTCTGCAGCCAAATGGGTATTGGCCCCTCCAAAGTTATCACTGTGAATAAATAATTAGTGATGTTACCATTACTAATGGAGCTACATTTTTTGGCACTACTTTCAGAGTCTACCACAGATACTTTTGCATAATTTCAAGGTTGACACATCTTTGTCCATCAAGGTGGACTTGACTTTTTTGAAACAGTTAGAATTTGGACTTAAAAAGAACAAAAACAAAGTGTAACTATAAAGTAACAAAATCAGTTTTCTCATGGCTCCTATGCTGCTCTATGAGTAATTCCAAGTGAGGAGTTTCCAGACATGCTCTGCACATGCTAAGCATCATTTGGCTAAAAGGGGAGAATTCCAAGGTGATTGATTACCTTGAAGGAGATACCTGAATACGTGAGTCTATCTTAAATTTTCTGTATGGCTAACTGAGGTATCTCGGTGAAGAGAAGAGATGCAGGATTGATGTTTAAGCTAACTAGCAAGAAATGTGATATCTTATTTCAAAGAGAGAGAGAGAGAGAGAGAGAGAGAGAGAGAGAGAGAGAGAGAGAGAGAGAGAAAGAAAAGAAGTGGGAAGAGTTCTGGCCACATAGTGAGCTGGATCTTCGGAAGGTAATGGGTGTGTGGGTGACCATCTTCACAGGCAGAACATGAAGGAAGGCAGCAGGTGAGATGGCAGTTCCACACCAGCAACAAACAGCTGTCTTCCCAGGTTGGAAGACCCTGGAAAGTACAATTGAGTGGAGCTCTTAGATCTTATTCTTTCTACCTGAATTTTTCCATTAGGAAAGATCTCTTTCAGGATGTGGGTGTGGGGGTTGATGATCTGATCTCTGAAAGACACTGCCATCTTGATTGAGACTTTGAGTCTAAACATTGGGAGCTATTTAATAAAAACTAAAAGAGGTGAGCAGTTTGCAGATAGACCCCCATTAGAGAAAGAGATGCTGGAAGAAAAGAGAGAGAAAGGCAAAAAGATAAAGGAACAGAACATAATGGAGGGGACCTTTTTATAACTGTTAGATGGGCTACTTGGCTGTTTTAGGAACGAATCTCATTTCAACAGCCACTTGTTTGTTTCTAAAGCTTCTCCCTAAGCACTGTGCCACTACCATCAGCAAGGCCAAGAACAAGAAAACCGTGAAGCAGAAGCAGACTCCCAAAAAAGGAGAGCCTGAGAGAGAAAAGCCAGGAGCTGAGAGTCACCGGAAGAACCGCAGCCTTGTTACCAAGTGAGGGTCTGGGCCCTAGAGGGCCACGTGGGCACTGCATCAAACATGGGAGAAGAGGGAAGCGGGAAGGTGATCCAGCAAAAGAATGCAGAAGTGGTGGTGGGGAATGACAGATATGAAAAAGCACTTAAATGTGCATTTTCTATTTTGCCTTTGTAGTCAGTATCAATGTGCACTGTTCTAGGCTGAGTGTTCCTAGAAGATAAAAGGGATCTGAAGGTCATGGGCCTGACAAATCCTGCCCAGATAATAGCAGGCAGTGCCAGACCCATAATCAAGGCTCATTTTACTTTCTCAATTTTACCCAGCATGGACAAGCTTCATGTAAGCTTGACAGAATTGGCACTGGCAATGAATCATGTATACAGCTTCTCTGTATTTGAACACACTATCTTCCCTTCTGAGTATCTCAGCAGCCATCTGGAGGCCAGACTCAACAGGTATCACTCTTTCCTTGTCTTCTTTTTTTTTAAAAGATTTTATTGGGGAACAGCGTTGGGGATCGGGGAAGGGGAACAGACAAGTTGCTGTCCTTTTTTGTTCTTCAGACTAGTTGTGGAGGATGTCGCTTCACTGGCCCATGTTGGTATTATCATTGTGCTCTTCCCGGGTGAGGCAGTTTGGTTGTCTGCCACTGAATGGCCGCTCACGGCGGCTCTTGGCAGCTCAAGCCGGCTGCCAGCCACTCACGGTAGCTCATGGCAGCCCACTGCAGCAGGAGCTGCAGCTTACGCTGTCGCCAGCGACTCACGGCAGCCCAGCTCCAGGTCGAGCTGTTGTTCACCATCTTAGCTGTAGAGGACAGTATCACTGGCCCTCATTTGGGATCCAAACCGGGGCCCTGCTGCTCAGAGCTGGCGTCCCAAGCCAACTCTTAACCAATGCACCACTCGGCCGGCCCTCCTTGTCTTCTATGTTTGTATAGTATGGTGATTATCAAATTTGGGTTCCATTCATTAGATTCCTCTTGGTGGTCATGTTACACACTGGAGATTTTGATGCAGTCATCCTGGCATAAGTTCTCTATTAAAAACAAATTAACAAAAAGAACACCAAACCTCTACAGGTGGTTTCGGTGAACAACCAGAGTTGATCACCACTGGTTTAGAGAATGAGCAGAGCCTTTGCAGTGAGCAGAACTGTGTTGAGATCCTGGCCATTAGCTGAGACACTGAAGCAGGTTATTCAGTTTGCTTAGGCCTTATTGTCCTACCCTGTGAAGTAAGGATAATGATGCTTACCTTATAGATATATAATATAACTGAGAATTACCTGTAATTCAGAACTGGTAGAAAATTAAATATTATAATGAGTACAAAGTTCCTGACATATGTCTTGATAAAATAGATTCTCTTCCCTTCACTTTGCCCCTCATTCCATTGCTTATAGAGGAGGAACATTCCTTATATTGGAATTGGGCACAGTAGGCAGCAATTAGGGGAATGAGAGGAAGAATTATTATGAATAATCCCCTAGTCTTAGATGTTTTCTTTTGGAATATGTAGTATATTCACTTATTCATTCAACAATTATTTATTGAACTGCTACTGTGTGTTAGCAGTGTTCCAGAAGCTATTACTATAGCAGTGTACAAAACAAACAAAAACCCCTGCCCCTATAAAGTTTACCTTCTGGTGGGGGGTATAGATGAACAAAATAAAGTGGAACATATAGTAGATTAGCTATTGATTAGTGCTAAGCAGAAGAATAAAGCAGGAAAGGGAGACAGGAAGTGTGTGTGAGTTGATGGTGGTGTGTTGCGATTTTACTTGGGGTGGCCAGGGAAGGCCTGCTTGAGAAAGTGACGTTTGAGTAAACTCTTGAAGGAAGTGAGGATGCCAAGCATGGGACTGGGGAAAGAACATTCTAAGCAGAGGAAACAGCAAGTGCAAAGGCTCTGAGGTGGGAGCCTGCCTGCTATGTTCAGGGGACATGGAGGAGACCAGTGCGGCTGGAGCACAGTGAGCCAGGAGGAGACCAGTAGGAGGTGAGATTAGAGAGGCGGGAGGAGTGGTGTACTGTCCAGATGCGTCTGTGTCATTGTAAGGATTTGGGCTTTTATTCCGAGTGATGTGGGGAGCCTTGGCAGGGTTTGAGCAGAGCAGTACAAGATTTCACCCAATAGTTTAATAAGTTCACTCTAGCTACACTAGGGGGACAAGGACAGAAGTAGGGAGAACAGTTAGGAGTCTGTGTTTTGATTGTAGGAGATGCAGATTGATTTTTCAATTAGGTTTTTGATTGGATGACAATAAAATTAGTTTGTTTCCATTCCATACACATTAGCTATATGGAAGGAAGTATCGCAGGTGCATACACACACCAAGAGGATGACAAGTTGATAAATGTCCATGTATAATCCGTCAGAAGCTGGCAGTGGTTTCTAGGCCCTGGAGCGGCATGGGTGTGATCTTCTAGTTTCCCCTGAATACCTCTAATACTTTCGTCACTGACATTGTTTGTAAAGCCCTAAGATTGGCCTGGAGGTTTGGCCTCAGTGAAAATTCTAAAATACACTAGGCTTGCCCCCAGTCTGCTTCTTCGGTATTATTTTCCCTCAAGTGGAAGTACCTCCTCTTTTTTCCCTTTCCTCTGGGGAGCAGACTCTCCTGCTCCTTTTCTTTCCCCTGCCATAAGCATTTTGCCAAAAAACACCAAACAAACAAAGAACTCCCCAAACATCTGAGGCTTTAGGAAGAATCTGATGAACTCATTCCTACTGAGATATAAATGACTGACAGGCTCTGACAAAGTGGGATGTTCTTTTCCCTACTGTTTACCTGTTAACAAGGAAAAAAGCCTTAGGTCAAAGGACTGACTCTGATTGAGAATTCTCAGGTTCCTGGAGAAGGCATTTCAGAAGGAGATGGGGGTCCAGTGAGAGGGGTGTTCTTGTGTGCCCCTAAAATAATACAATAAGTCCTCACTTAACATAGTTGATAGGTTCTGTGACTTTAAGTGAAACAACATATAACAAAACCAATTTTACTTATAAACACGAATTAAGTTCCTATTGCACCTCATCGACATTCTAACGAAATGTTATTCGAGGACCTGATGTACAGTGTGAAGTTACCCCACCTTGGGTAGAGTTGGGTATAGCAGCATGCCACGTGTTCTCTCCATCCAGCTCTGGCATCCCATGGCCAGCAGGGATTGCACTGCACTTCCAAGGATTTCTAGGTGTGGTTTTCCATTTCTGACAGGGGTTGGATCTAATTATTTGCAAGGAGAAAAGACAAATACTGGCCCTGAGAATGTTGGTGGTGCGATCCCTCAGGTAGAGTTAGATGGGGTTTGGGAGCCCAGGTCTTTTACCACCTGAACTGATTTCTCCAGAGGAGGCAGCAGAGCATAGTGGTGAGGAATCAAATGTTATTGGCTTCAAGTCCTAGCTCTGCCACTTGCCAGCTGTGTGGTCGTCACAGATAGCAAGTGACTTACTATTGCTGTGGCTCAGTTTCTTCATCCGTCAAATGGGGATAATTGTACCTACCTTATTGGGTTGCTGTGAGGCTTACATGAGATAATGCATGTAGTAAAATCATAGCACAGCACCTGGAACACAGTGAAATGTGATAACTCTTACTATGTTTATCATTATGGTTGTGATTATGATTTTTGTCACCCAGAGCGATTGTATGGCTGGCTGGTTACAATGCCACGACCCAGGAGATTGCGAGGCCTTCTGAGCTATTGGCAGGAGTCAAAGCGTACATCAGTTTCATACAGTCACTGGCCCAGTTTTTGGGTGCTGATGTTTCCAGAGTCATCCGCAACGCCCTTCTGCAGCAGACACAGCCGCTGGACTCGTGTGGGGAGCAGACTATCACCACTTTCTACACAAATTGGTCAGTGTTGCTCATCCTCACTCTGGCTTACACAGCAGGACCTCGAGGGGTCCGGGCATTTTAACTCTCAGGGTCACAGGGTCCCAAACAGAGGCTTGTTTCGGCTTGAGGACTAGAGCAATAACCTGGGGCAACCCAGATTCCCTTCTGTCCCCCATGAGGTTTCTTTCTAATCTCCCGTGTAACATCCATTGATTTTCCCTGTAGCAATTTGACCTTTCTTTTCATAATTGTCAGTTCCTAACCTTTTTTTCTGGGTTCTGTTTTAATTTCAAATGATTCCTCTTCTTCTTTCTGAAGTTCCCTTGATTCTCTTTTTGCCCAGCTTCTTCCTCTGAAAACCATTCTAACATCATATCTCTGGAACATTATCTCTTCACCCCCAGACATGACCATGTCTCCAGTAGATTGTTCTTCATAGGGAAGGTGGCCTCTTCCCCAAAAGGTAGGAATTAGCAATAGTTCTTTTGAGATTTAAGGATGGAAAGGAGCTGAAGTCCTACCTCCCCAAGCCACTGGGTGGCGCTCTTAATCCAGTATGAGCTGAGCAGGAGACAGGCTGCAAAGAACCCCTGAGTAGGGGAAAGACAGAAGGTTTGCAAATAAAAATGCCAACAAGAACCAGGAAGTAAGGTAAACGGGTCTTGCGGGCTAGGTGGGCACTGCAGGTAGTTGGGGAGGGCAGCTCTGTAAAGGGGGCAGCTGCCATTTAGCTCCACCTGATTGCTGCCCCACTAAATCCTTATTTTTAATGTAAAATCTCTCAGTTTCAAAATTTTGACAACTAATTCAAATTAAAAGAAAAAAGGATAAATCACATTTGACAACTGGGTTTGGCCTACCCGTGGTAAGCTTGTGTCTTCTGTAAGACCTAAGCCCACGGCTCGTTGCCTGGGTGAGTGGCACAGGTTGGCCAAGCCCTTCTCTGCGGACACTGGCTGGAGGACTTCTCAGCTTTCACAGAGGTCAGGAGGGACTATCTGGAGACTGGATGATTAATGTTCTTGGGACTTCTCTGTCCAGGATGTTTGACTCGAGATCCGCTTCCAGGATCCTAAGTCCTTAGTCCAACATTCTCATTGGAGAGTTTGAGGCTAAGTATATTTCAGAGGAGCCCAATTTAGTAGGAACTTTTTGCTTGTCATCTTGGGCTTGTTTAACACGACAGAGAAAGGCCAACGGTGAGGGGAGTACAATAGTTGGAAAAGAGCAGGAGCTGAGGGAGGAGAGTGCAGGCTATTACATTTGACAGCCCAGCGAAATACCCTGCAGATGAGAGGTGAAACAGAATGACGTTACTGCGGAGTTACATTACTGCCAGGTGTTTGTGAGCCAACAGCTTAGGGTGTTATTTAATTAGAGTTTTGCAGTATCTTCTTTGAGTCTCTTCTCCCCACCCCAGCCTCTGGTGGAGTTTCTGTTCCTGAGCCCAGCAGTAGTGGTAGGGAGCAATGGTCGGGGGAAAGGATTGAACACTAACCTGTGCTTTCTCGGCTATCCCTGTAGGTACCTAGAAAGTCTGCTTAGACAGGCGAGCAGTGGGACTATCATCCTGTCTCCAGCCATGCAGGCCTTCATCAGCCTCCCCAGAGAGGGCGAGCAAAACTTCAGTGCAGAGGAGTTCTCTGACATCTCTGGTGAGCCCAGGGCCTGGTCTCCTCATCAAGGAGCTGAGCCTTTCCCCTCGATACAGTATCTCAGCCTATGGACCCCATCTCAACTCTCCTACCTTCTCAGAGACTCATTCTATACTCTCCTCAGCATCTCTGCTAGATCCCGCCTTAGGGACAAAAAGAGATTCTAAGTGAGACCCAGAATCGAGGAGTGGCCTGGGGGTTGAAGACGGAGAAGGGAAATGAGGGGAGTTAGGAGTTAGGGGCACCCAAGTCACCGAAAGGTTTATTCTTTGAAGGGTAGTCAATGGTTATTTTCCATCTCCACAAAGAATAAAAAAATAGGATATATAATGAAAAGTAAAGGATAAATGTAAGGCGGCCATTCTCATGCTTGGAGTTATTAAACAGTTGTCTCATGTCATGGCATCTTTTTTAGGCATACATTTTAGAGCCTTTAATCATAGATTACTGATGTTTAATAATGATGATGAGACAATAGATGGCATTTATTGTGGGCTAAGTTCTCAGTGTTCTCATGTATTAATTCATTTAATCCTCGCAAGAGCCTTGAGGTAGATACTTTTATTATCCCCATTTTATGGATGAGGACACTGAGACACGGACACGTTAAGTAGCTTGCCTAAGGCCACACATTCATAAATGATAGAACTGGGATTTCAACTCAAGGCAGTCAAATTCCAGAAGCTGGTGCTTAATCACTATGTAGTGCTGCTTCCCAGTGTATGGAAGTGCTTTTGTGTCTCAAGGGGGACCAGGTAAAGAGTGTGTAGTGAATGAGTTGGGAAGTCATTCTCTTTTTAAAGAGGGCTTTAAGCCATACAGATCCTTGTTCATGGATTTGTTTTACTAATTTATGAACTCTCCTACTGCTTCCTTCTTCCTCTCACCTCCATATAAATCATGGATCCTGCATGGTATTTGGGACAGGTAGGAGATGTTTCAGTGACCCTCCCCTCTCCATTCTTCCCCTTCCTTGGGGGTGTTATGAAAGTCGGAGTGCGCAGTTCTGTTTTCCAGCTCTGCTTTCTTCCTACCCTTATTCTGACTCCATTAGTAAGCTGACCCTACTCTTCATCTGCTGGAGGTTTCAGATGTCCCCTTCTCATCAACTCCACCCACAAACTGTAGGCAGCATCTAAAATCAGCTTTAGGTGTTGCTGACAACTGACAAGCAGCAGGAGGTAATGCTGATTCCCCCCTCTACCACCCCCACCCCAATTTTCCTGGGTTACCATGGTGATGGGACAATGCTACTCCAAAAATAGATAGATGGAAAGAGGAGGATGCCCTTGGATTACTAGCCTGGAATGGAGAAGTCTAGAAAAGGAGGTCTGGCAGATCTAGACCTGTAGATCGACTTGCAGGTCAGCCGTCTCCTCTCCATCCAATACAGAGAATGCAACTGAGCCCCTCCCCCTGATGTTGGCCATTTTAGCATTATTTAAGTTGACTGGATAGGAAATCCTTTTCTAGTCAGGTCAATCTTCCTACTGTCAATAGGTGACTCTAAAAATGTATTTACTCCAGACAAAGTTCTGTGTCAGATGCTGTGACTAGTTCTACATCCTTTGTTATTGGTGGAGGTGGAAGCCAACCAGTCCTGCCCTCCAAGACTCGAGCGTGGAGCCTTGATTTTCTTTTCCATCTGAACTCATATTAACTATGTTAAACTCACCTTTCTTTACTGGTCTCTTGTTGTTACTTCTGATGTTTTGTGGTTTTCTCTGCTGGGATGGCCGATAGCCAAAGATCAGAGCTAGAGCTGTCCCCTGTTTGGATTTGTCACTAGTGTTGTTCATGTGGAGTTGCCACAGGCAGCTCTATTTGATTCACAAACAGCCAGAAGCAGGCTGGGTAGGGAGGCAGAAGGCACTGGGGCAGACTAGAGGAAAGAGGATTTAGAGGAAAAAACAACTGGGACTCTGGGGATGTGTGCTGCTGATGAAAAAAATTAAAGGTAGCTTAAGAAGAGAAAAACTTGGACAGTGAGGCATTAAATAAGGGAAGTGGAAGGAGGAACATAGAAAAAGCCAGGCCTTACTTAGATAAGGACCTAGTTGTGGTATCTGCTGGGACACAGGAAGGGCAGTAAGGCATTGCACTAGGTTTCTGGTACCAGCTTTTGACTTGGTTAAGTGACCTTGGACAATCGCTTAACCCCTTACCCCCTTGTCTGTTAAACCATATACCTCAGAGGGCTGTTAGTATTTATCATAATAATCCCTTATTCATATATACCTTTATAGTGTTCTAAGGTTTTTATAGTGTATCTTATTTATTCTCATATCAACTCAGAGCAGATATTAATTTCTTCATTTTATAGAGAAGTAAACTGAGGCTTATAGAGGGTTGGTGACTTGGTTAAGGTCTTATGTCTAATAAAGCTCCTACAGCTGGTCCAACAAGAGTAAAACCCAGGTACCGCATCAAAGGACTTGGGAAAGTATAGATTCTTATAAGAATGTCAAGTAAATAGTTACCATTTGTGGTTAAATATTGGTGTGAATACCAGTGGGGAGGGGGTAAATTGTCTCGCTGGCAGGCCAGACCTATCACCGGAATGCAGGATATCAGGTCACTTTTGCTCCCCAACTTCCCCCTCCCTTTCCTCCTGAAACACATTGTAAATATTCAGTTTACCCTGTAGCTGTTGTGCAAATGCTCCGGTGCCCTCTGACCTCTGTAACTCTATTCCAGAGATGCGGGCCTTGGCTGAACTCTTGGGCCCCTATGGCATGAAGTTCCTGAGTGAAAACCTGATGTGGCATGTGACCTCTCAGATTGTGGAGCTGAAGGTACCGTGGAAGGAAGCCCCGGGGAAAATGTTCAGCCTCAGGGGAAGAGGGTTAGGAGTAGGAGATTGGGGGGAAGAGGGTTAGGAGTAGGAGACTGGGGGGAAGAGGGTTAGGAGTAGGAGACTGGGGGAAAGAGGTACCGTGGGTCCCCTTGTTTCCTGCCTAATGTCTCTGTGTCCCGGCTGCAGAAGCTGGTGGTGGAAAACATGGATGTGCTTGTTCAGATCCGATCGAACTTTAGCAAGGCGGACTTGATGGCTTCTCTGCTGCCCCAGCTGATGGGTGAGCACCTCCCCTAAAGGCAGAAGGAACTGTGGGAAAAGCATTGCGGGTGACGGGTTTGGGTGATCTGGGGGCTGGGCTGGGTCTGAAGAAACAGAACCATCAGTCTTCTCCTGTGTTCTCTTCTCTAAGACTTGTCTTTCTCCTCAGGGGCTGATAATGTGCTGAAGCGCATGACCATCATTGGAGTTATCCTCAGTTTTAGGGCCATGGCCCAAGAGGGACTCCGGGAGGTGAGTTGGGGGAGAGAGGGCTGCCACAGAATCGCAGTCACCTCTGTGGGTAGGGCTTGTATGAGAAGTTGTGGAAAGGGTTGGTGAGCATTGAGGAGAAAGGAGCTTAATTTGGTCGAGGTCCTGGAAGGTCTGGGGCTAAATGAGCTGAGGAACCCTGGAAGTGTGGGGAGAGGGTGGGAAGCCGGGTAGGTTCTTCTATAAGCTGAAGCCCCGTTTTTTTGGTTTGTTTTCACCTATCTTTGAAGGTACTGGCCACTGTTCTGTGGATTCATTTATCTTCTTTCCTCTAGGTTTTCTCCTCTCACTGCCCATTTCTTATGGGTCCCATTGAGTGCCTGAAGGAGTTCGTCACTCCAGACACAGACATCAAGGTATGGGGAGCGCAAAGTAGAATCCATTTAGGGGGCTTGTTGGAAAAAGATGTAGCTAGGATCTTGTAAGGGAGAGAGGGCCCTGAAGAATACTATAGAGAGAAAGAGCCAGGATTTGAATAGGAAAACACTGGGGGAGATTTTGTGACGAGAGAGGGCATTGGTCAGACAAATATTCTTGGAGAGTGAGAGCAGAGCTGGGGAGACATGGGGGAATGGAGAAAGGTGGGAGCCTGGAAGACCCTGTCAGGGCCGGGGCAGCATCACTGGAGGGAGCGGGGTAAGCTCTGGGCCAGTATCTGTAGGTTTTCACCTAAGATGTGCTCACAAACCCCTCTTTAGTCAGGAGTGTAGGTGCTTTTTGTAAAGAGATTTGTATCTTCCATGCCCACCCACCCTGCCTGCCTTTAGAGTGGCCTTTCCTTTTCTGGCCTTTTGTTTTTCCTAGTCATGAAACTTTCTGGTTCCTTTGTCTGTGTCACCTGCCTCAAGCCCCATTTACTACAGAGATGGAGAGAGAAAGAGGGCCTTCTGCACACACCCCAAATTAGACATCCATTCTCCCTCCCCTTCCATTAGCTTGTCTTTTGAATCACCTGGAACAAACAAGTATGTTATGCAGGAAATATAGCTGAAGGCTGGGAATAAGCGCCTCAAACGCACAGGGCAGGCTACTTCTCTCATGGACTCCTTTAATGGAGGGCGGTCTGTGATAAGAGGAAACTGGTTAGCTGGAAGAATTAAAATTAAAATTAAGCAAAATGTTCTTACTTTGAGATCAAAAGAGTTGTGAAATATCCTCTTCTGTCTGTATAAAATCAGATGAGGGTCAAGTGGTCATGGGGGGCCGTGAGGGGGTGATGTTGCATTGGGATGGGTGCCCCTTTTGACCAGTTATCATTTTACAGTGAGCCTGGGTTTCTGGCAGCTCCTGCTGCTGCTGGCGCCAATGCTCTAGCCTGTCAGGAGCTTGTCTAGCTGATATCTCCCGGGCAGCCCTGAGCTCTGTGCCCTGCCTGCTTGCGAAAGTAAGCAGGTGGAGGTGAAGAGGGGGATGTCCTGTCCATTGGAGATTCTGTTACTGCCTCAGAGGGTGAGAAGATTAGGATAAAAGAAAAATAAGGCCCTTTCAATCATCCCTTCCTTCCTCCAGAAAGCCACAGGTTATGGATCAGGGCCCTGACCTCCTAGGCCATGGTTGCCATGAGCAGGGTCATCTAGTTGGTAGGGGATTTAAATACAGGGCAGAGCAGAGTGTGGCTAAGGTTCACCTTCTGTGTCGAGTCCCATAGGCAAAGGAAGCATGTGCATATTGTTACGTTTGTGGGGTTCTTTGCCTATGATACGCTACTTAGTTGTCTGCTATTAAAATAGTTATCCTTATTCTCTCAGAACATTTTACAGTCTTTTTTTGTTAAACTCAAAAGGGGTCTAAGTCCTTGGTGTGGGAGTGGGGCTTTGAGGCTATATCCTGGGAACCTGATTCTAGTACAATGAGGGGGATTCAGGTATCAATCAGTAAATATTAATCGAGTGCCTTCTGTGGGCTTAGCATTGTGTTAAAAACTAGAGAGGATACAAAGAAATGCAAAGTTTCTAGCTTTGAGATAAAGGAAGAAGAGGGAAAGGAATAATGCTTATTAGTCAGTTAGTGACTCTGTTAGTCCCTAGGGTAGATGCTTTGCATGTGTGGTCTAATTTAATCTTCATAATTCTGTGAGGTATGTACTATTATCCCAGTTTTACAGGTGAGAAAACTAAGGCTCAAAAGAGGTTAAGTCACTTTTAGTCAAGGTCCCATATTTAGTAAGTGGTGGTGCTAGGATGTGAACCCAGAACTTCTCACTCCAAAGCCTTTTTCTCCCTTCTCCATGCCATGAGGTTGAAAAAATTATAGTCTAGTTGGTGAGATAAGCCATATGCCTCACCTCCTATCTGAAAGATAACTGAAGTCACCAGGTGCTGTGTGTGATCAGTGCTAAGTTAGTGGTACCAATTTAAGGAGGGAGATATGGGTTTGGGCTGAAGTAATCAAGGAGGGCTTCACAGAGAATTTGAGGTTTGAGTTAAGCCTCAAGGGATGGGTATCACTTAGATATGAGGAGAGGTGGGGAAAGAACACTCTGAAAGAGGGACGCACATGAACCAAATGTGGAAGTATGGAAGTAAATTGTAACTTGGAGAGTGAATAAATTACTCTGACTGTGTTGACTTTAGGAAGTGTTTGGGGAGATAAAGTTGAAAGAGTAAATTTGTAGTGTGCAGTATGTGAATGCCAAGCTAAAGCATTTGGGGGTTTTTCCCTGTAGGTTAGGGAGAGCTATGAAAGGAATACCTACAAAAGGTGATAGTACACCAAAAGTTTCAAATCTATGATTTGGGAATCCTGACTACCTGTAGCTTCTGCCAAGCACTTGTTTCCTGGGAATCGTTTTCAGAATGTTGTTTTCTTCTCTGCCAGGTGACCCTGAGTATCTTCGAGCTGGCATCTGCTGCAGGAGTGGGCTGTGACATTGACCCAGCCCTGGTGGCTGCCATTGCTAATCTGAAAGCTGGTAAAATTGGAGAAAGGGGACAAGGGCGGACCTGGACCATATTTTGGGGTGGGAAGATATCAATGTCAAAGGAGCGTTTTGGTTTGGATTGTGAATTCAGGGGATATAAACCGGAAGTTAAAGAAAGACTGAAAAGCATAGTCTCTACCCCCCACAAAATACTTACATGGGCAATTTAGAGATTTAACCAGTTAACCTATCGATTAGCTAAAAAGTATTAAGTGAGAGTCTGATGATCAGCAAGTGCTTAAAGGAATTTACAATCTGGTTGGGGAAATAAGATTAATGCAAATGAAACAATGAGGGAACAATCCATTAGCAGCATATGATTCTATGCTGAGTTGTGCGGTACAGCATGTGAGTTCCCCCAAGGGATCTGCTCTCCCTTCCCGTATCATCAGCTTGACACTATTTACTTCCCCAGGCCTCACACTTGTCTCTCATATTTTCCATCACACATTTCCTCTGATAAGCACATTCACACTTACACTCGGAACAGCATGGAACCAAAGGGTGGTATTAAGCCCTTTCGAATCGCCAGACTAGCTGTCCCTCTTCTCTTGGTTTTGGTGAGACCCTTTCCTCTCCTTCCTGCCTCTCCACCCCATTGCAGGTGACAGAGTGTCCTTGGATGGCTTGTCAGCAGAGCCCTTCGCCAAGAGCTCTGCTCAGTCACCAGAGGAGGCCTCCAGGACTCAGGCCCTTCACTGTACATGGAGGCTAGTCCTGCCCCCGTCAGCAATAATGACTTGCCTGTAGTGCTTTATAAAGTGTCTTCATAGATATTTTCTCATGTGATCCTCACAGTAATTCTGTGACATAGGACCCCTATAGAAGATAGCTCCTGTTTGCTGATCTTACTTGTCCTCTCTTCCTTCTTACCAGATACTTCATCCCCTGAGGAAGAATATAAAGTGGCCTGCCTGCTCTTGATCTTTCTTGCAGCTTCCCTCCCACTCCTTGCCACAGACCCTTCCTCCTTCTATAGCATTGAGATGGATGGTAAGTAAGGAGTAGATGTGAGGAAACGGTGCTATTGAGGTTACTGTCCTGGGGTGGGAAGATGAGAAGACACATTTGTCTATCTGCAAAATGCAGACTTCTGACTCAGGGGCAAAGTTCTGTTTCAAAAAGCATTTGAGAATGAACTATCCATAAAATTCAATTCGGTGAAATTTTGTAGGAAAATCTTTGTCTTAATCCCCAAATGCCTGTTAGTCCTTTTGGTGCTAGATAGGGGTGGTCCAGCCTGAAAACATGAGAACTGAGCACCTGGGGTCAGTCTGGAGTGGCTCGCTTTATTTCCTTTTGTTTCTTTCCCTCTCTATCAATAACAACCTAGGTTACAGCAACAATATTCACTGCCTGACCAAAGCCATCATCCAGGTGTCTGCTGCCCTCTTCACACTCTACAACAAGAACATTGAAACTCACCTCAAGGAATTTTTGGTGGTGAGTGGGCTAGGTGATAAGAAATGTAAGGTTGCAAAGTCTGGCGAGAATTGTTTTGACTTAAATCCATAGACAGTTACTGTTGAGCGGGCCTTGGGGTCTAATCTACCTGATTCAGACACAGTGAGAGGCCACTTTGTGAAAGGCAGGAGTTTCTTTTAAATTCCCTAACAGCTGATACTTCAGCCTCTGCCCGAATACTTAGAAAGAGCATTGGAGTAAGAGTCAGGAAACCTGAGTTCTAGTTCTAAGAAGTTGGGTGACCTTTGAAGAGCCAAACTTTTGGGGCCTCAGTCTCCCTATTTATTAAATAGAATGACTAAACTGAATCCATGATTCACTACCTTGGTGTTAGAACAACCCAAGGAGATTGTTCAAATACAGAGCCCCACTCCTTATATCAGATCTGCTGTATTAGAAAACCCTAGGATAAGCGCTGGCCTCTGTTTTTAATGTCTCCAGGAGATCCAATGCACACTAAAGTTGGAGGGACACTGTTTTATGATCTATAAGCCCCTTTCCAACTCTAATACTGACAAAAAGTAAAACTTTTTTTCAAATCTCAAACTTTAACATAAATCAGAATCACTCAGAATTTCTGAATCAGTGGATTCGAGGCAGGGCTGGAAAATTTGCATTGCTAACAAGTTCCCAGGTGATAATTGATATTGCTCATCCTGGGGTCTCACTTTGAGAATGGCTGGTCTAGATTTCTAGGGACTAGTGCTTACAACTGGGTGGCCGATTCTACTGTAGACTATGTACAATTTGTTTGGAAAAAAAAATGTTTTAAAAGAAATTTTAGCCAAAGTTGGACAATCTGTAATTATCACCATTGATCTTAGTTTTGCCTCTGGGAAAACACAGAATAAGTAATGTCTTTCCATTGTTGAAAGAGGCCCAGAGCTTTCCATTCTAAATCCTCCATGGAGGAATCCCATCCATACACTTATGATACATGGTCCATTACCCACTGCCTGCTTGAGCATTCTCAGCAATAGGGTTAGGGAGCTGATTTCTTTGCAAAGCATGGTCTAATTTAAGAAGTACGGCCTCATTTGTCTTCCTTCAGGAGGAAACGCAGTAGATTATATTCTCTCAGGAATTATACCATTGTCTTGAGAAGTACATGTCAGGGGCTTGTAACTTAGTGAGTGGGTCTCTATTTAAACTGAGCCAGCCCATCAGACAGAATGGGCTCTGAGCATCGTAGATATAAAGAGGACTCACAGCATATCTCTAAGATGTGGGGAGAAGGGAATTCCCCTGTTCCTTTTCTCTTTTACCCTCTTTGTTTGCTAAATGGGCCTGGGATACAATCCTCCCTCTTTGATTTGTTGGGGACCTGGAGGCGAATGGAGAGGACAGCTATTTGGGAGTTGACAGGAGGAGAATACCAAGAGCACTGTGTCTGAATCAGAGGCCCAGCTCTATCTCTAGTTGGGCGGGGAGTCAGCTGTAAACAGCATGATGGCAGTGGTGTCTGGAGGCTGCCTAGGAAAAGAGATTAACCTCCTGGCATACAGTATTACCTGCCTTTGTTCTAGGTTCTTTCCGTGCCCTTGCCACCTCTCCCCCAGCGCTCCTGGCAACCTCCTGTTGTCTGCACTGGCTGGTTTACAGGCAATGTGCATCCTTGAAACCTAGGGAATTTGCCACGTTTCCATCCAGTCTCCAGGAGCAAACCAGCACTCCTCAGCTTTCCTCCTAGAGCTTTTCTTCTTGTAGCCCGAGGCTGTCCTACTCTGACCTCCACAAAAATCTGCTTCCCTTACAAATTCTTCCCTTACAGGTGGCCTCTGTCAGCCTCCTGCAGCTGGGCCAGGAGACGGACAAGATTAAAACCAGAAATCGGGAATCCATTTCTCTACTCATGCGCTTGGTATGTATCTTGTTTAAGTTGGTCTGGGGAAAAGAGAGCGCAAGGGCCAGAGGGAGACTCCTCTTTATGGTGTTTGGGTTCCTGTCGTTGTCATCACCCAAAAGCACTACCTAAGAACTTAATTCTGCCTCACCCCCTGGGTCTAGTCCTCGCATTCTCGTCAGCACTCTAGACTCATCCTGTAATCAATCGCAAGGGAGAGTCTTCAAGGCCTTCTCTGCAGGCCAGGGCCTTCCTGGCCTTTAGCTGACGGGGGCAATATTCTGACCTGGGAGGGGGGCAGTGGAGTCCCCCCTCCAGAACTACCTGCCCAGGACCTGTTTGGCTTACTTGACCACTTCCTACCACTGGATGTCTTGTCCTTAAGAGTACTATGAAGAGGGTGCCAAACAGCGCGGAGCTGTACTGGGGGAGGGTAGGGAAGGCTCAGAGGAAGAAGGGATTTTAGGTGAAAAGCCATAGGCAGGGAGCCAGGGGGGCCACGTATCAGGCAACTCCTGCTATCTCTTCTCCTTTCTTCCCAAGCTGTGGGCTTTTCCCTGCTTTGGCAGAAAGTTCTGGGAACTCTGACTCAGTTAGTTAAAAACAAAATCTTTTCCTCATGACCCTGTTTCCCTCCCAACACACTTACTCACTCTTTTGCTCTAAAAGTCTGAATCTCCAGGTTAGTACTGTCCTGAGATATGGACAGGAGGGGCTCCCGCCCTGGGTCCTGTGTTTAAGAGGCCCTCCTCTGGCTATGGGGAGAAGATATGCCTTCTGGAGCCTGTGCCCCACCTCGAAGCCCCCAAAGATTTCTGAGACCTCAGAGTTCTCTGCTGAGCAGCTCCAGCCCACGCGTAGGGCTCGTAGGGCGGAGCGTCCTCCTCACGGCTGTCCTACTGAGGTGGACTGCTGCTGGTGGATATGCCTCTAGCGCCCAAGCAATGTGTGGCTGGAGCTTGGCTGTGCGGATAGGAAGTCTACGTGCGCATAAAACACCCTTTAAACAGCCTGATTCCCACTGCCCTGTTCCGGTCTGGCGCTCTGAGGAGTCTCAACATTCTTAATTCAAACCTGGCTTTCCATGAAATTATAAAAGTAGATTGTGACAGTTGAAAGATAGAACATAATAGTTTATTGTTTTATTTAGTCATATGATATGTGAGCTTCCATTTGGACTCTTGGCCCAGGACCGCAAATGTTAGGACAGGCATGCCCGGGACTCCCCCAGGGTTTCCTTTAAATACATGGGCACTGAGTAGTATCTGTGTCTCAGTTTCTCCTGCTAGAAAAAGGCCTAGGTTGGGCTGATTAAGGATTATGATGGAGGAGAGAAGAGAATGGACATGAGGGTGTGTGTGTGTGTGTGGGGGGGGCGCAAGGGGGTGGTGAGGGGTGAGAGGGCAGAGGGAGCAGAAGTCATATATGGCAAATGCCTGTCATGTGTGAGGTAGAGCATAGTCTGTGGAGCAGCAAGGTAATTAACCTTGGCTGATTCTTTGTCCATAAAAGTGGGCAATAGTTTTCATGATAACAGTGGTTAAGATTCATGAGATAATATATGTGAAAGTGCTAGTATATAATAGATGCTCAACAAATGTTCCTTCCCTCTCTCTGCTGTTTGTTTTAATTTCTGGATGGTTAGGTATGCCTCTTCATTGCCTTGGGCAGTTTTCACTTCTGTAAGGTTGGGGGTGATTCTGTATTGTCACATAGCCCTGCCTCCTCCTCCTGCTTTGTTCTCCCCCCCCCCCAAAAAAAAGTGAGAAGGCATCTGCCCTTGTGGCATGGCAGTGAGGCCTGCAGAGTGGCTGGAACAGAGCTAGGACCAGGTGCTTTTTGCTGCTGCAAAGCAATTTAAATGCAAATGTTTCCACACAGAAATTGGAAATGACTGAAGGAGAAGGAGCTGTATTCTGAGTTAAGAGGCTATTCATGTAGCCCCAAACCCTAGCCAGGCACTTCTCCCCTTTGGGTCTTTCTCTCTTGGCTGTCAAGCCTGGGCAGTGCCCACCCCCAGTATTGCCAGCCTGTTCCCTGGCATGGGCTTTGCAGGGGGAAAGAGATGACGCTCTCATAGAACCATGGAATCTTAAATGTCAGAATGAGGCCAGATCCTGGCAATTAGTCCAGTCCTTATAATTCATAGGTGAGGAAACCGCGGACAGGGAGGGAAAGATGACATTCAAGGTGTCCCCCCAAATAGATGGGCAGATTTGGGACTAGAACCCAAGTTTCTTGGCCTTCACTCTAGGGCTGTTTCCACTACTATGAATCTCCTCCAGTTATTTTCTGTGCTTAATGGAGCAAAGCGTAGGAAGTTTTGGGCCAGTGGATCCTTCTGGAAGCTGTCACTCATTTTCCTATACCTGAGGGGTGTATCCTGGAAAAGGGAGCCTATCTCTCTCCTGGCTTAAGGTTTGACAGCCTTGCCTAGCAAAAAATTCTTTCTGTTATCCAACCTAAGATCGGAGCTACAGTTTTACTGACAGATTTCCGTCCCTTCAGCTGCAGCATCTGCTCTCCTGAGGCTGTGTGTATTGTGTACCTGTGTTTGAGAGTAGCAGAATCTTACAAATTTTAAAACCTGAAAGGACTTCAGTGAAGGAAACATATTAGCGTATAGGGTAGGTTCTCTTTTCTGAGTGAAATTTTGGGACTCGAAACATCAGCGATATTGGGATGGGCCCATCTGTGTGAATTGCCAGAGGATATGGGACACTTGTCTCCAGAGTGTGTCTTTTTGTTTCAAACCTCCTGATGAGAAGAGTACTGTAGGAAACACACCCTGTTCCCTCCTCAGGGAAGGGGCCTCTCCAGCCCAATGCTAGGTTGTGCTGCTTTTCACTAACATGTTCTTGCCACCAAGTCTGATCCAGGCATCTTGATCTGTCTTTCTGCTTGGCTGTGGGGGCTGCTGGGATTACCACAGCACACAGGCTTCTAATTAAACTAATTAATCATGCCTGCTCCTTTATGCAGCATCCTTACTGTTTCATAAACACTGTGCTGAGAAAGGGAGGACACTGAGGCCCAGCACAAGAGGACCCAGGTGGATTCCAGGCCCCGTTTCCAGCCTGCAGTGGCAATTGTTTCTTTCTCTGCCAAGCTTCATCATTAGCACTTTTATTCATTCTTACCTGCATCTGCGCTGCCCACCCACATGTGATTTAGCATCCAGAATGAGAGAGAATGGGATTTTTTTCCGACCCAAGGAAAGTGATTCTTCCCTGCCTTCTGCTTCTGAGCCCTTCATATAACCCTGAAGGGGTTGGGAGCAGGGGCCATTATAATGGAGCTGAAAAGGCCATATTGCTTTCTTAGAGCTGAGCCAAGTCAAGGAGGAAGAGGGAGTGTGATGTGGAACCCTGTTCACTTATAACTCTGGGGGCGTCAGAGGGCCTGGCCCAGGCGACTGAATGAAGAGGAACAGGGTGTCACAGAGGTAGGCCCTACCTGAGGTTCTCATCTCTTGGTCCCTTCTCTTCCAGGTGGTAGAGGAGTCCTCCTTCCTGACCCTAGACATGCTGGAGTCCTGTTTCCCTTATGTCCTGCTTCGAAATGCTTATCGGGAGGTATCCCGGACCTTTCATCTGAACCGAGTGCCGGCCAGTACTCACTGAAGAGTCCTGTGGACCTACCCAAACCCACGCCATACTGGAAGCTGTGGCCATTTTCTCAAGGGGTGGGAATGGGGTGGGTCTGGTGCCAGAGCTGATGAACAGGCATATGGAGGAACAGTCGAGGGCTGATAAATCAGAGAAGTGGGGCAGGCTGGGGGCTGGGGGGGATAGAAGACAGGTTATGGAAAAAGTTAGGGGAACGGGGCCATGTGTGTGAATTTTTACAATGAAAAAACCGAGTGACAGAGAAATATGTTTTCCATCTTCTGTTGACTGGAGCTTGAGTTCTGACTGGCATGAATCCCTCCGACCTTCATCACTATTCTAGGATAATGCCGGCCGACAGAGATGATCAATCATCATATTAAACTGTAATGAGCTTATAATCCTCCCACTGGAGCTGCTATTGTCTCCTGTACATTCATTAGGACGATTATGTCCTCTTTTCCTTTTCCAAACGTGTTCAGCAAACATTCAGCCTGCTCCTACTGCAAAATCCTAGCAGAGGAACCCCGATTTTTCCTTTGGGGGGAGGCTCTTTTAGGAGCCATGGGTCTCTTCCTCTGCCCCCAGCTCTACTGCCTATAGGGACAATGAGGAAGTGCTCTTGAGACATTTTCACTGCCCCAAACCCCTTCACCTGCCCTACCACATCTCGTGGGTAACAAGTAAGCTCTCTCATTAACTTTCACACCTCCTGCTTTTTCTCTGACATCGCCACAACCCAGAGCAGAGGGTCAGTCTAGGTAATTCTAGGTCACACGACAACTAATTGGACCAGAGTCATGTGGGTTTCCCTCCCAGACCACTTGGGGTACTCTGCCTCCTATCTGGAAAGACTGACTTAACCCGAATCCCCTTGTCATCCTGGGTACAGCTGTTGCTCCAGGCAGGGATTTCTCTTCTAGATCTTAAATTTCATAGACCTCATTAGGTTATAGGGCCCTGACAGTGGGTATACTTGAGGGAGTACGAGCTGTTTCAGCTCAGCCCTTTTCTGCACTAATTAGAATTTCAAGAGTCACAAAGCCTAGGGGCGTTCACAATAGCACTAAACTGGGTTTAGTTAACTCCATGGCAGAAAACAGTGGCCTCCATCCATCACTTCTGTGCACTCACTGCTGGAAAGGCTGGAGCAACAGATCATATATGTCTCAGGTTCAGAGTGGTTGGAATGGACAAATATAATTAACTAGTTGATTAATCAGGGTCACGTCCATAGCTCCACGATAAAAGGGAAGCAATTGCTGGCTTTCAGCAAAACCATCTGGCCTTCATTAAAGCTATTTGATAGCTGTTTTTTGGATTTTGTATGTGTGTTTGATCTTTATTTCTCGAGACCCAGGCTTAGTCAATACTTTTTAAATTTGGCACCCATAATCAAAACAAGTTTTTCTTAGTAACAAGTGTCTGCTCTTTAGGATAGAAGCAACACGCTTCGTGCATCGGCAAATTGTCCGTCCTTGCTATAGAAAGGAAATTTTGTTCTAAGCAATGATTCAAGGTCAGGCCCACTGAAACTGAGGGCAAAGTTGATGAGAAAGAGAAGGCTCAGAAGTATCTGGACAACGAATCTTAAATACTTACATCTCTGCGGGGATCATCATCTGGAGGAGATGGAGACCTCTTTTCCATATATATGTGGAACTGCTTATGAGGAGCCTCCCCGAGGACCAAAGACAAGTTACTGCAGGGGAACAGGGTAGACATAATGCCTTTTATTGTTTTAATTAAAATTTTTATTGAGATAGTCAATCCAATAAACAAATGCAGAGATCCTATGTATCTTTACCAGTTTCCCTCCATGGTAACATCTTGCAAAACGACAGTATACTATCATAACTAGGATATTGATATTGATGCAATCTGCTGATCTTACTCAGATGTCCCCAGTTTCACTTATACTTGTTTCTCTGTGAGTGTGTATTTAGTTCAGTACAGCTATAATATATCACGTGTAGGTTCATGTATCCACCACCTCGGTCAAGATAGAGCAGTTTCATCACCACGAGGATCCCTCATGTTGCTCTTTTATAACCACACCCACTTCCCTCCTGCAACCCTCTACCCCTTCCCTAACTCCTGGCAACACAAATCTGTTCTCCTTTTCTAAAATTTTGTCATTTCACATAATATCTCTGTATAAACATATAATTACACATACATTTCTCTATCACATATACTTTTTCAAAGTGTTCTTGCATCCTTATGACATTTCTGCAAGGTAGCCAGGGAAGGCTTCCTTATTTCAGGCCAGGAAAGATTCTGAGATGTTAAATGATGTAATGAAGCTCATGTGCTTAGCAGTACATCTAGAACTGGGACCCAAGTCCTAGCACTTTTCTCCCTGACCAGACTACCTCTTCATTTCAGAAGATCTAGTTGTTAGAATCCAAAGACCCTAGAAGGAGCACAAATAGGAGGTGAGGACCTGATGGCCTGTCCACCTGAAACAAAAGGTGAATGTCTAGAGGTACCCATTAGCATTGTAGGCAGTTTGTTTCCTTGGCCAGTAGGGTCTCTGACCCCTATAGCCTAGGACACAACTATGAAAACTATGAACTGCTTCCTGATCTCAGAACCCCAGCTTGCTTTATTCAGGCCTAAAAGGAACTGAGGAATGAATACCAGGAAGAAATTCTGACCTTGATTGCTTTGTCTTGCAGGCAGAGTAGATTCTAGCCTTGGCATTTTCATTAGTGCAATATTTTCATTAAAATCTCTATTATCTTGTTTGCAGCAATGAGATGGAATTATCCCTCCTACCAGGCCTGAGGCGAGATGTTGCAGAAGTGCTTTCATTCCCTTGGGCAATGAAGACACTAGAGTGTTCGGTTGGTCCAGTGGGCCGATGAAGGCAGCCTCAAAATGCAGTGGGGCTGGGACCTGGACTAGGGGGTCTTAACCCTTTGACACTTTGCCTGGGAGGAAGAGAACAACTGGTTTGAGCTTGTAACCCAGGAAGGAGGGAGGTCCCAGCTAGGGACAAGACTTCCCTCACCTTAGGTCCTCATGCTTATTATCAGTTCTTCTCCCAACAAAGTTTGACTTTGAGAAGAAGCTGGCACATGGTTGAAATGCACTCACGCGGTTGGGGGGAAGTGTTCTCCCAGGCCTCCTCCCCACAGGGCCTCCTGCTTCTCCTAAATACCTGTCATCAAAGGAGAGAAAGATGAATTCCCCCTCAGCCCCCACACCTCACGGAGTTGTCAAGTACTCTCCCTCCCACCTCAATAGGAAGCTGGAGCAGCAGGCCACGTTGCAGGTTGAGGAAGTCAGAAGTTAACTTGAGCAGAGTTTGCAGCTCTGGAGAGATTGAGGAGCAGGCTTTTCTCTTGTCACTTTGGAAGTAGAGGATTGTGAGGCTGCCCCTTTAAATAGCATTCCTGTAGGAGGCAGATCACATCCATCCGTCACCACTGCCAAAATATCATTTTTGGTCTCTATCAAACTCAAAGCTTGCTGGAAGGGACCGTGGGGTTAGGGGAGTGAGGAGGCACGGTCTCCAAGGGGGCAGGGGCAGTTTGGAAGCTGAAAAGGAGAGGAATGAGGTTGGGCAGAAGGAGCCTGGGAAAGGTGGGGGCAGGGAACAGGCGGAAAGATAGGGAAAGAAGAATAGCCGGTCTTTTGAGCCTATGAATGGAGCGGATACAGCTGTTCTTATCCCTCTAGAGCGAGGCTCTCAACCTGTGTGGGTCGCGACCCCTTTGGGGGTCAAATGACCCTTTCACAGGAGTCGCCTAAGACCATCGGAAAACAAAAAGAAATTTATATTATGATTCATAACAGTAACAAAATGACAGTTATAGAGTAGCAACGAAAATAATTTTATGGTTGGGGGTCACCACAACATGAGGAACTGTATTAAGGGGTCGTGGCATTAGGAAGGTTGAGAACCGCTGCTCTGGAGAGAGGGGAAGACAAAAATGGGATTGGATTGCAACAAGAGGAATGAGGTTGAAGTTAACACCAGGACCGGTGACTGGGAATGAGAAAGAGCCACAGGATGGAAAAGCACTAGGAAAGAAGGGGAGACTTGGCCCTGGCTTTGTCGCTTGCTCTCTATGGGACCACATACTTTTTCTGTGCTTAGTTTTCCCATTTGCTAAATGAAGGGGGTTAGATTAGATGGAGTCTAAAGTGTCTTTTACAGATAACTGTTTTTTGGAGGAGTGAATTTTTCTTTTCTTACAATGGGTTAGGAGATGGGGGCCAGGGAGAGCAGGGGTGGGATATACCACTGTATTGACAAGAAATGTTAGGAGATCCCTCTGGATGTGTATATCTCCTGCTGCTTCTACATATTTGAAATACCTGCCTAATTTGGGAATCTCTATGGCTCTAATCCTAATTTGCAATTCTTTCATCGTCTCCAGCCCATTCTTTTTCAATTGATAAGGAAGGCAATTGCTCTCAAGTTTTGAGAACTGGATTGTGTGTAGGAGTCTGACCGGGGTCTCAGATGCAGCTTTGTCTTGGCTGGGACTGTGCATGGCAAGGAGGGGATAGAGGGATGTGCTGAAGTTAGATGGACAGGGAGGGGGAAGTCCAGTATTCTTCCCTCTTTTTGTCCTTCTCTGACTCTGCCATCTCCTTCTGTCTCAGTACTTCTGGGAGCTGGCTCTGCTAGATCTGAAGGCTTGATACCACAGCATCTAGTGTGGTACTGGAACATACAAGGCATTCAGTAAATAAAAGAATGAACAAATGAATTAATGAATATACGTGCATATGTCATAGAGCCCAGTTCTGACTCTGATTCTGTGGTGCATGTGTTCCTGCGTGCATGCAGATGGTGCGGGGGAGGATATAAAAAAGATTTTTATTGGGGAAGGGGAACAGTGTTTGGGAATTGGGGGGAATTGGGGAAGGGGAACAGCCAAGTTGTTGTCCTTCAATCTTAGTTGTGGAGCGCGCAGCTAGCTCAGCTCCAGGTCCAGTCGCCATCCAGCCACCCGTCGGCAGCTCTCAGCTGCTCAGTTCAAGGTGCTATGTTCAATCTTAGTTGCAGGTGCATGGGAGTCGAACCGGCAACCTTGTTGTTAGGACCATGTGCTCTCACCAGCTGAGCCGCAGCTCACTGGCCCGTGTGGGAATCAAACTGGCAACCCTGTTGCTCAGAGCTTGTGCTCTTAACCAACTGAGCCACTCGGCCAGCCCTCTACCTGATATTTAGAATGGACTAAATACCTTCTCCAGATCACTCCTCCTTCCAACCTCCAGAGTTCTTGATATTAAAACTCACATTCTGGGATCCTGGATTAGTCAGTGAACACATCTCCACTTTGCGTTTACGAAGGATTTTCCCCAGTGCTAAAGTAGGTGGTAATTAAGGAGAATAAATCTAAGAAATGCTGAGGTGGTTCCTGCCAGAGTCCAAAGTAGGACTTAGTTTGATGGAAGAGGCTTTGCCCTGTTACAAGGTCTTGAGTTCAAATTCCAGGTCATTCATTCAACAAATGTTTTAATCAGTTAGGCTGTTTCCAGCTGGGCCCTCAGCCATTAGATTTCTTTCGCTGAAGACAATAAGAGAAATAAACTGGAAAGGCTACAGGGAGGGGTTGAGATGAGATATTGGGAATGATTTCCTGGCCCTCATGGAGTTCTATTTAATCAAAAGAAGATGTGCTGCTGCTGTTCTGGTGGATTCTCTCTGGAAAGCTTTAAACTTGGGAGAAACTTCCATGGCCAGGAGGGAAGTTAGAGACACCAGGGGGGAGGCCACGGTGCTGGAGACACGTCAGGAAGACCAAGCTAAGGAAACTGAGAAGGGGAGTGGGATACCATCACAACTCAGAGCGGACCCTGAACTTTTCCCTCCACAGGCAGGACTGCAAGTGTGAGGGTCTGGTGTGGGGCTGGGTTCTGACGGTGGGTGGCTTCACCGAACCAGAGAGCCAAGGCCCCCAGGCAGAGACATGTGGACTCCTCTCTCATACACGTTCGCTAGGCACATGCGAATACATGAAACCGGTTACACGCACATACACAGAAACTCGAAACACACACGGAGGGAACCCACGCAACACCCACACCGAAGTCCTGCCGCCGCCTGCGCCGCACTCTGTAAACACGCACTCACATCCACCCGCGCGGGGCACGCGCAGCCACTCGTCCCGGGCGCCTGGGTGCGTGTGCCCGCCCCTGGGCGCTTCTATCTGTGTGTGCCTCCGGCTTCCAATCTTTCCTCTGGGAGGGGGAGGAGTGGCTGCGAGGAGTGAGAGACAAGCGGGCAGGCCGGGAAGGGTGGGGGAGCAGAGGGAGGGGGAACCGGCCGGGGGAGGAGGAGAGACGAGAGGAGGCGGCTCTGGCAGCGCGCGCGGCGGCGGCGGCGGCGCGGAGAGCTTGGACCGGGAGCCCAGAGCTCGGCTGGGCAGCGGGAGAGGAGCAGCCGCAGGAACTGCAGCTCTGTCAGCTTGGGCCGAGCCTAGAGACACCGGCCTGGCTGGTCCACGCCAGCCGCAGGTGGGAAGGGGCTGGTTTGGGGGTGAGGGTCTTCCGGCTAGGGGCTGAGGCTGAGCCGCGGTGCTGTCTCCTCTTTCTGTTCCATAGACCAAAGCTGAGCATGGAGCTGTCCCCTCGCAGCCCTCCCGAGATGCTGGAGTCGGATTGCCCGTCAGCACTGGAGCTGAAGTCAGCCCCCAGCAAGAAGATGTGGATTAAGCTTCGGTCGCTGTGAGTCCCCGGCCGGGAGTGGGGGGAAGGGATGTTAGGGAGCCTGGGGGTGGGGGGTGGCGTCTGGAGCCGGGCTGGTGGATTCGCTCTGGCACACATGTTGGCAGGTGCGAGGAAATGAGCTGCTCCGACACGAGTGGCCAGGACATGTGCAAGGCATGTGCGGAGCAAGCTGGCTGGTTGGAGCAGGTTTAGGAGTTGCAAAGCTAGGGATGTGCCTGTGGATCCCCCGGGGTGACACACGCAGCATGGAGAGGTGGCACACGACGTGCGGTGCAGTGTGGCAGGGCTGCAGCCGGGCAGCATTCAGGAGGTGCCAGGCTGACTCACACGTATCAATGTGCAGGGTTGTGCAGATGTGAGACACATCATGTGTGTGCTTGAGTTTCTGTGGGTCACAGAGATGTTTGTAGAGTGATTGCACACAGATGCAGATGTAGTGCTTGGGGATACTTGTGCCAACCTGTGGGTCATACATCTCTGTTGGGATTGGTGGTTTCTGCCTCCTGTATTCTACATGGGGTGGGGGTGGGAGATGCCCCATAGCTGAGCTGCTCCTCTCTCTTGGGGCCTGGAAACCCGCTCTGTATATTAATGATGGGGACCCACCTGGGATCTGCAGAAGGGGTGCAACCCCTACCTGGGATCTGAAAGAGGTGAAGGGTGGAGCCTCTACCTGGGAGCGATTGACAGGGGCAAGGTAACTGTCAAAGCCTTTTTATTGCTTTAGGGTCTCCCAAGGATCTCCAAGCACATTTAGGCATCTTCTTTTATTTTTGCAGGATCAGGGTATGTGGGGAGGAATAAATGGGGACAGGAAGGACTCAGGTGTCCCATACTCCAGTCCCCAGGGAGGAAAGGAACTTTTCTTCCTGCTCCTCAGAGAAGAAGAGGATCTGGTCAGAGACAAGCCATGCACCATGTTTATCTCCCAGGCAGCTGCCAGCGGGTAACCTCTGCAGTCTGTTGATTCTTAAGCAGAGAACAAGGGAAGGTGCTCCTCTCCTTGATGTGACTCCCCATGGCCCCAGGAAAGAGGCTGTTGATGTTTATTGAGGAAATCCAGGAAGCATCGCCCCTTAACCCAGTATCCTCAATAGGGAGCACTGAAGCTTTCCATTTCTGGGCTCTGGCAGACGGAGAGATGAGGGTAGGAGACGGATAGATGGTTATGATTGTGTTGTTTTTAAAATACTTCACCTGTGGCGATAAGCTGATGCCTTTTTACTGGGTGGGTGGGTCTGATTTATATACTAGTTGCTGAGGGAGGCCTGAGGGAGAACTGAGGCATAGGGGCAACAAGGCTTGGAATCCAAATGTGCTTCGCAGTTCACCCCCTTTGCTGCCTCGAGCCAATGCAATTTGCGGGCTCTCTGAAGCACAGCCTTGGAATGAGTTCTGGGATGAAGAAATGGAAAACCGGATTGAATTGATTTTTCTTGGGAGGAGCACTGGGTGATTCTTAATAGAAAATGATGCTCTGTTAATGGTAACTAAACTGGGAAGAGGGACAGGTAAGGAAGTGGTTGAAGGAAAAGAAGGGGACTCAAGAATTCAAGGTGTCCCGGGATGGCTTCCCCAGAGCACTAGTGGCTCATCACATACTTCCCTTGCCTCCATGCTAGGTAACAAATTGATATTTCTTCCTTTAGTGTGAGAAGTTCTCAGTGGTGGGAGGAGAGGGTCCCTATAGGAGGCACTGAAACCTGGGGAAAGATGGGAGTAGAGGCAGCGGCCCCTACAACATGTGTTAGCTTGAGATGTCCTTACAGGAGATGATGGTGGACAAGGACCACTAATCATAAGGATTAGATTATTCTGGTCTTCACTCAGTTCAGCACTGTGGACCATGAGAGTGCTAGCATGAATAATAACTTACCAGAGAAGTACCATCTCCTTATCATTTATCACTAGGAACAGATTCTCAATCTCACTTTCTCAAAGCAGAGAAAGATCATGATATCAAGGCAGATCCCAAGTTGATGGTTTACGGGATTTGGCCCTATTTGCATACTGGGGAGGCTTTGCCAATCAGATGAAGGACTATAAAAGGATTTAGGACTTTTGCTGGGTAGGAGAGAGAGACTCCCTAACTCTCAGGGTCTAGTGGTTTCTGCAGAGGTGAACAAAGAAGGCATTCTCTCTTTTAAATGGAAATAGAACACCCCTTCCCCTAACCCCAGTCTCCACCTGTCCCCAAATGGGCCTGAGTGGGAAGGGGTTGTTTAGGCTGGAAATAGGGGGGATGGTGAACATGATTATATCAGGACTGGGTGCTGAACAGAAATGAAAGCAGATGGAATGAATATATATATATATATATATATATATATATATATATATATATTCCTTGATTCCCCTACTCACCATATACTATATCTCCCCACCCCCAACTATTCTTTTAATTTCTAATCTAGGACATCTAGGCTCTCTTCAGGGAGTCCAGGCCTGGTGTTTTTGCCTCTGGTGAAAATGCCTGTATCATAGAATTCTTCAGGGCAATTTCTTCTTGGGAAGGGCATCCAGTAATTCTGTTTCCCACACTAGCACTCTGCCAAAGATAAATTCAGAACCTGGAGCATATGAGCTAGAGAGTCTTTAACCGTGTGGTTTCACCTCTACCCAGCAGGAAAATTTTCCTAACTAAGCAGACTCAGGCTGAGGCATGAGAGGCTGGGACAGGCAGTGTGGAAAGGATGTGTTGACCAGGATGATTCTCAGCCTTTCTCACCCGAAGATGATGGATTTGACTTGCCTGCCCCTCCTTCTCTGAGACCAGAGGGTCTGAGGAGTGTAGGGAAAGGTCAGTACGAGTAGAAGGGGTTTTCTGTGTCTTTTGTGAATCAAGAAAAACTATGAGCAGAAATTGGTTTGGCATCCTTAGCTCATTCATTCATTCATTCATTCGATAACAATTGAGCGTCTCCTGTGGGCCAGGTGATGTGCTGGATGCTAGGGATACAGTGATGGATAAAATGGACACAGTCCCTGCTCCTATGGAGCTTGTAGTTGGGTTCAACACCATCAAGTGGAGTGGAGAGTGGAGGAGGCACCCTGTTCCTCATTTTGCTATACCCACCCAAGTGGTAAAAGTCTGCCACTCTGGTTTCTGCTTAATCTTTTCCTTTGGGGGTTACACACATAGGAAAAGCATATATATGAGCTCTCTCCCAGGACAGTACAAGCACCACTCTCTTTTCCTTGCTCCAGTTTCTCCTGGAAATTTACAGACAGAACTTCCCTCTTCCTTTGGGATAATACAGACACAGTCCCTTTCTCTTCTTCTTTCTCTACATGGTACACACTCAGGATTCCCAAGGTCTAGGCTCAGTGTCCTACGCTGTGGTTCAAGGTCATTACAGCTGAGCTGGAGCAAGGACCCAGTTGGGGATTGTTTTTGCCCATCTTTGTTTCATCAGCATCTAGTGTGGTACTGGAACATACGAGGCATTCAGTAAATAAAAGAATGAACAAATGAATTAATGAATGTACGTGCATATGTCATAGAGCCCAGTTCTGACTCTGATTCTGTGGTGCATGTGTTCCTGCGTGCAGATGGTGCGGGGGAGGAAATGAGGGTAGAAGAAAGGTAAATGTTGTTGTTGTGATGTTTAGAAGGTGTGGGGTTTGCATACCTCAGAACAGAGCCTGGAACTGAAGGAGTTACAGAGGATATAGAAACGACATTATCTGGATGTGTGAACGACATGTATCATAATGACTGTGAATGCCTGACATGTATACATGTGTGTCTGGGTAAAGGTCGAAGTACATGCCGGGGACAGTTTGTGGAGTCAGAGCTCTATGACGATGTCTCTTTGTTTTTATGTTTATAAACGGTATACATGATAATAAATATGTTGGGAAGGTATGCTGAATTCAGGTATGCCAGATACCTGAAATTGTTTTATGTATGAATGAGATGTATGTGTGTATGTGAGTATGTGTGCCGATAATGGGATAATATGTATATGTGATCTTATATGTGTTTGCAACATATTCACATCTTTTGACAATATTTGGGAGATAGATGGGCAAAAGGAGGAGGCTGAGGGACTGGACTGGGTGTCTCACTGACTTATCCCACCTTTGGTCCTAATTTTGGGTATGCCCCATGAGTGATCTTCTGTGGCTCTTGCCAGTTTTAAAAACCATGCTGCTGTTTTCCTGTCTCTGCATATGGCTATGGAGCTACTGTGGAGACTGCAGAATAAACAGTGGCTCCCTGGACCTCTGGGGAAAAAGGAGCATCATTTCTCCAGGCCTCGGTGGGATGATTTTTAGTACCTTCCTCCCCAGATTAGCCCTTCCTCCTTTACTTCCAGCCAGAGCAAAGGGCATCTCTCCTCCCTGAGTTGTATCCTCCTCCCATCAGATGGCTTCCATCTCTCTATTTCCTCCATCAGCTTTGCCTTGAATGAGGCAGCTCCGGATGGTAGAGGGTGGAAAATTCCTGCAGAAAGGTGAAGGAAGGTGCAAAGATAGGGGAAATACAATTCAAGCCAAAGGAAGAACTTCACAAACTTCAGGTCAGAATAGGTGGCTGGAGAGAAACAGGGTGGCAGGGGTGGAGCGGAAGAGCATTGTGAATATTAGGAGACTTGAGTTTGAGGTCATGTTTCCACTTTGCATGATCATGAAGTCCCACAGTCTCTTGGAATCTCAGTTCTTCATTTGATGTCATCCATGTGAAAGTCTGGAGTTCTTTCAGCATGGGAAAGCTTGCGGTGTGAAGAGGCAGGGGAATGGGAATGAACGGGTGACCACTGGCTTGGATGGGGAGAAAATAAAGATTCAAGAGGCAGGAATATGAATTACTTAGTAGGTTTGAATCCTGGTGTTTGGGACACGATTTGGAAGAGTCTTGTTGATGAATGCTTGTCAGGAACTGGTGAGGCAGGTGTCTGAGCTTAGAGAATGGGGGGTTGGGTGGGGCGGGAGAAGGGCTGTCCTAGAGAGTGTGGGGCTACTGAGGTAAACAGAAAAGGGAGCGTCCTACT